AGTAGTAGTAGTAGTAGTAGTAGTAGCAGTAGTAGTAGTAGTAGTAGCAGCAGTAGCAGTAGCAGTAGCAGTAGTAGTCGTAGTTGTAGTCGTAGTAGTAGTCGTAGTCGTAGCAGTCGTAGTAGTCGTAGTATTCGTAGTAGTAGTTGTAGTAGTAGTAGTAATAGTAGTAGTAGTAGTAGTAGTAGTAGTAGTAGTAGTAGTAGTAGTAGTAGTAGTAGTAGTAGTAGTATTTTGGTAATGGAAGATGAAAAAGATAGGACATAATATAAAATATCGGTATTGAGTGGTAAGTAAAAGAGACAAAATACGTATTATCATACTGGCCACGGAAGATGAGAGAGGCGGGGACATAATATTATACTGGTAATGTGTGAGCGCGTGCATGTTTGTATGTGTGTGTGTGTATGTGTGTGTGTGTGTGTGTGTGTGTGTGTGTGTGTGGTTGTGTCTGTGTATCTGTGTCTGTGTTTGTGTATGTGTCTGTAATTGTCTGTGTGTGTCTAAGTGTGTGTGTTTGTGAGTGTGTATGTGTGTGAGTCTGTATGTGTGTGTGTGTGTGTGTGTGTGTGTGTGTGTGTGTGTGTGTGTGTGTGTGGTTTTTGAATGCCTGATGTAGAGATAGAATACTGTGGGACATTCCTGAATGTGGAAATCTCTCACTCCATCAGGGTGGCCTGAATTTAACGGTCCCGCAAAACAGCAGACAAACTCCTAGCTTTGTGCTTCCCCAAATACTTTCTCTCACTCGCAGCAGACGTTGACCCAATCCCTTGTCTCTCTATCTATTGAAAGCCCGGCCCATATATCTTTAACTTCTCCTTTCTTTCTATTCCAGGTGCAAACGATCTCGATCAGAAATGTACGACTGAAATCCGGGCTGGATTCAGAAGTTTTAATCTCCTTTTCACTGCCCAACTAAAAATATCTGAAGGAGCACCAAAAAAACTTTGAGATCTGAAGGAAAAAAAGTCTAGAAGGCATTTCCACCCGCCTAATCTGAGAACTTTTAGTGCGAAAAGATAGGAGCTCCAGATTTTTTGTGATGGTTATCTACGGAGAAGCCAAGAATAAAATTCCTCCGGTTTGATAAGCCAAGGCAGCCTGTTAACTTGAAACATTGTGAATCGCAATAAAAGCAGGGAATCCACAGTCCACACAATAAGAGCATTCCCTTCGGTCTATCAATCACAGCCAACTGAACACAAAACGTGACTTAAATAATTTGTTTGTTATTTTTTAAAAACAAACAAACAAACAAAAAACTCCAGTAGCTTACTAATGTACCAACGAAGAAAAAATTATTTCTCGTGAGAAAAACCGTATGGTCACACGGACAGAGGCAAAATCAAGACAAGAAAAACGTTGAGGAGAAACTGTACACTCCAGTGACGTTCTCAAGTCTCTGTTCTCACATCACGCAACGTTCTCGGATACTCCCACCCATCACGTGACGTTCTTCTGGGACAATTTCTCACGTCACGTGACGTACTCAGACTATTTCTCACATCACGTGACACCCTGGGAACATTTCTTGAATCACGTAGCGTCCTCGGACAATTTCTCGCATCACGTGACGTATGAAGATGGCGGGCTGGGTGTCCAGCACAAGCTGTTACGTCATGTTGTCCATTGTCTGCGCCCAGTGCCTGGTGGAGCAAGTGGCGGGACACAAGAGGAAACGGGACAAACACTCACTGCAGTTCCGGGACTGTGGTAAGTGAGGGAGGGAGGGGAGGGAAGGAGGGAAGGAGGGAAGGGAGGAGAGGAGGAGGAGGGGAGGGGGAAGAAGGACAAACACTCACTGTAGGTCCCGGATTGTGGTAAGTGAGGGAGGGGGAGG